GAGAGAGAGAGAGAGAGAGAGAGAGAGAGAGAGAGAGAGAGAGAGAGTTCTCAAATTGCTTTCAATTGTCTGCACAGCAATAAGACAGGCAAGCATGGCCGAGCCGGGACACATCCAGCCTTGCCCATAACCTGGCTTAACTTTCCTCATATTTGTTCAGCTCCTTTAATAAGTGCATTAATTGTCTCATGCCCTGGGTTCCTCCTCCGAACAATGGATGCCAGATGGGGAGCTTAGAATATCTACGACCATATTCAGAAGCATCACAAGACCACCTCTGTGTTCTACACGATCTGGGAAACAATGCAAACACCACATTTCTACATTTTGCCACAATCCATTTTTCTTCTGTAAACCGGGGGGTGGGTGGGAGGGGAGGTGAGGAGGCAGGGGGCGGTGACAGCCAGGATACTCCCAATTTCACAGATATCTCGCTTAAGCTGAAGCTAACATGGGCGTTTAAGTTTGAAGAGCGAACACATTTAAGGAAGAATATTCCGTAAACAATAAACATGAATATGACAAAACAAAAAGGATACAAGAAAGCCTGCTGAGGAAGCAATTAGGGGCTGGGGGTGTGGCTCAGCTGGTAGAGTGCTTGTCTCTCATGCAGGAAATCCGTCCCCCTGTCCTACAAAACCAAAATAAAATCAAATAACTGCGCATGCTGGCGATGCCTGTAATCCCAGCTCAGGATTACAAATAAAAGGGGATCAGAAATGAAAGGTCATCCTGGAGGCAAGTTGGAGGCTAACCTGGGCTACCCAAGCAGAGTGGTGTTTCTTTCATTCTTCTCTTAGGATCTCTAAGAAAGTTTTATGATGGGTCAGCCGTAAGTTCCCAGTGTGACATTACTCATAGACCTGAGGTCACTGGCTTGGCAGGAGTTTATAGTCCTTTGAGGAGGCGTGCAGCCCTCCTTGACAAGCCCATGAAAGGTCATGGTTTCCTTGGGAAAAGATATATTCTTATGCTCCCACAAACCTGCTAGAATTTCTGGGTCCCCAAGATAATTTAGCACCCACCCGCAGACTCCTGGGAAAGCAAGGAGCATGTATTCATGGTTGTGTCTGCCTGCTTTACTATTTTCTTGGGTTCCTAGGTCAGTGGTTGAGTCTTTAGACCTCGTTTTCTATATTTCTGAATGCCATCTTCCCTTCCTCTTTGCAGATGCAGGGAAAAACAACCCAGCTTGCTGTCTGTGCTGATGAGACAGTACACACAGCGTTTACTTCCCAGCCTCGCCCATGATGGCTTTCTCAAAACCCATATATACTACAAAGATATCTGTAGCCGAGACCTCTTCTTAGGTTTTTCCAGGTCAACTCCTTTTTGCTTGGGAGGTGCATCTCCCTACTGCATTAATGTAGAAACTCTGAGCGCCTCCATTTCTTGGGTGCCTGTTACTGACTCATCCAGAGACTGGAACCTGTCACAGATAGACCAATTGGTTTTGCGTACCAGAACCTCTGAAAAGAATTACAAGGTGTGAGCCAGGCTAGGCTTCTCATTTGTTAATTCTGTACAGAAGAGCCAGGCCCACACAGGTTCAATGACACAGCTCCCCCCAGCAGCTTCTTGGGAGGTAAATATTGTTTTGATAATCTCTTATGCATCCTCTCTCCATATTTCCCATAATTCTCAACCTCTTTTTCCCAAGTTCTCTTACTCATGAGAGAAGGGTGATGAGAGTCAGAAAAACTATCCTTCTTCAATCTAGGGCACACAATTTCTATGTAAAGGAACCTTTTTTGTTGGTAGTGGTCATTGAGATAGGAGCTCAAACTCACTGTGTAGCTGAGAACACTCTTGAACTCCAGATCCTCCTGTCCTCCCAAGCGCCAGGCTTACAGCACCATGCCCAGCACAGAAGAAGAATGATAAACAGATGCATTTACTGAAAGCACGCAGGCGCTGGGTTATGTTGCTGGAGGTTAGATGCACGTTCTCATTTCATATCTCCACCTTCCTCTTGACGCAGGTAGAATGATCCACTTCCCTGTGCAGATAAGGAAACTGTTGCATAGACAGAAAGTTCTGGAACCAACTGCAGCATCAATACTATTCTTTTTTTTAAACTCCCTAAAATAATTTGGTTTACTTCACTCATTTTTGGTTGTTAAGTCTAGGGCAGGGATTTGCTATATGGTCCATGTGGCGTCAAGCCTGACACCATCCTGCCTGAGTCTCAGCCTCTCCAATGCAAGGATTCTAAGAGACCAAATGTGGCCTCTTCAATTTTGAATAACTAACTTATCACATAGTCTGCAGCTCTGCTCAAAACATTAAAACGAGGACCCAGAGAGATAGCTTAGAGGTTAAGAGCACTTGCAGCTCTTCTGGAGGACCCAGGTTTGGTTCCCAGCACCCACAATGCAGCTCACAAACACCTGTAATCCCAGTTCCAGGGAATCAACTCTGCAGGTACCTGAAGGTGCACACCAATTCATTCGGGCACACACTCCAGTTCCAGGGGAGATGCTGCCCTCTTCTGACCTCTGCTGGCACCAGACACACATGTGATGCACTTACATGGAGGCAGGCAGAAAACTCACATATATAAAATATATTAAATAAATATTTTTAAAAGCATTAAACCACATTGCCTTCTTCTTTCTTTTCCATTGTTTTCATGTTCCTACCCTATGGCTGGGGATGGCTGTGCAGTAACAGCCAACAAAGAATGTGCATACTTGGTTTTACTATCTTCTCTTTTGACTGATATTATGTGGCTTAGTATTTTCTTGCCCTGACAGGATTCTTTTTGTTTCATTTACCAAAATATCGAGATGTTCACCTTGTATAATCCAAAAACTTCCTTATTGCAGTTTTCAAACGTTCTGGCAGTCAATGTAGCGATGGATTATCACTTAGTAACAAAATATGTTATGCTGCTGAACACTTAGGTCATCTCCACTTTTTGCTTTTCTGTTTGGTTCTGCAACAAGAACTTGGCACACACCACCTTACAATTAAACATCTGTAGACACTGAAATACATTTAACAGATACCAAGTATCTACAGCATAGAGCTACGAGGCGAAGTGTGTGTGCATTTATAATTTTGCAAGGACATTTCAGGCTGCCCCCCACAGACTTTGGACCCCCCTACCACACTGACCATAACACGAGAGCGATGCAGTATTCTTTGTGACTTCAGGCTCTCCTACTCACTTCTGAAAGATTTATCTTCTCAAAAGTATCTCAATGATGATTTATGAAAAAAATACAGAAGCCGGGATGTAGCTCATAGGTGGGGCCTTTACCTAGCAAAACCCAGTGCTCTTGGTTCGGTTGCAACCAACACACACACACACACACACACACACACAAAGATGTGCACACATACATGTTCTCTCTCTCTCTCTCTCTCTCTCACACACACACACACACACACACACACACACTTTTGCTCTTTTCCTCCCTCCCCACCTTCCTCCCTGCGTGATTAGTTTTATTTTCCCCTATAGTGTACTCCCCCCCTTTGCTTAGAGCTCCCCCTACCTTCCAAAAGAAGCTGAAGTTTATGAGCTTAGAACCTTGATCAGGTTTGCTTAAGGGCTCTACTAGCAAGTAGTTGATCTTCAAGCCTTGTACATTAAACCTTTCTATGGAGATTTTAGTAACACCTCCCTATTCCCCATGACAGCAGCAGCAGACTGGAAAGACCCACCACAAAGTTCCTTGCCTCCGACCTTCCTAACAGCAGCCACACATAACCCAACTCTTGTAGATTCTCCCCATCCTTTTTTCTTTCTTTCTTTCTTTCTTTCTTTCTTTCTTTCTTTCTTTCTTTCTTTCTTTCTCTCTCTCTCTCTTTCTTCTTCTTCTTCTTCTTCTTCTTCTTCTTCTTCTTCTTCTTCTTCTTCTTCTCTCTTACATCCTTCCTTCCTTTTCTTTCTCTATTTTTTTTTTTTTGACAAAGGGTCTCACCATGTAGTCTGTTGCCTGTCCTAGAATTCACTAGGTAGACCAGGTTGGCCTGGGACTCAGAGATCCTCCTGCCTCTACCTCTCCAGTGCTGGGATTAAAGGTGTGTTCCACCACACCCCCCTTTTTCTTTTCTTTTTAAGGACAGGGTCACTCTATGTAGCCCTGGCTTTTATGAAACTTCCTATGTAGACCAGACTCGCCTTGAAGTCAAAGTGATGTGCATGTGAGTCACTGACCTGACTCTTTAGATTCTTTGGGAGGCTAATGACTGGGGAGTCTAAAACAGCCCCGCCTCCACTCGTGGGAGAAGTGTCTGGGAACAACAGAAACAAATTCTGGAGAACCCTTGTGTTCATGTGCATTTCAGATTTACAAAACACCCAAAGGAGCAATCAACATGGCCCGGCATGGTGGAGGCACAGCCTTTAATCTCAGCACTCAGGAGGCAGCGGCAGGAGGATGTCTGTGAGTTGCAGACCTGTGGAGAAGGGGAGGGGTCTGCATAATGAAGCCTTGTCTCAAAAGAGGGGGCAGACAAGATGACGTAATTAGCTGTGACCGAAATTTGATAAATCTGTCTAAAACCTGCCCTCTATGATCGACTCAATAAAGCATCTAAAGGACGAATAGAGACAGGCCTCACTCCCTCACACTCCTTTCCTCTGGGTGGTTTCCCTGCCAATCGTTCAGGCAGGAAGAACCAGGAGCAATCTCCTCTTTGTAATGACAAAGCTTTGTCTTCCAGGCAACTTAAGTTCAGTTCTAAAACTTTCAAATGTGGCTTTGCAAGCTTCTGTGAGTCAACTGCTACTGAATCACACAAAGGGGGCCTTTATTAATAAGCATATTCTGCTCATTGCAGAGAAAATGAATGCCTCAGAATAATTCGCCAAATATTTAACGAGAAAACAGAAGAAAAAAAAAAACAATGCGATAAACAGACAAAGACGTGATGAGCTGTCTAGGTAATTGGTTGTTTCTGTGCACCTGGTTCCAAAGACAATATTTAATGTGTAATCTGTTTCATCTGCTCAGGGAAGTGAGTGTAACTCTACCCTCTGGATCACATCTGCATTAAAATGAGGGGAGGCAGAGTCTCATTGCCGTGCGTGGAAATTTATGCACACGCGTTGCCTTTTTACATGGAGACAGCAATTATACCCCTAGAAATGCAGTCTGTGGGAGAAAATGACATATTCAAGGCTGGGGAACAAAAGCCTAAAGCTAAGGGGACATTAACGAGGTTGGGAACCCCCTCTCAACAATTAACATGATCATTTACAAAATCTGCAGTCTATAAAATTATTTTTAAAACATGTTTTTCAAAACAATGTGGCTTTCTTTTTTGCACTTCCCTAAAAAAAATCATTAGCAGTCATAGAGAATCTGTTTAACTACTCCACACCAACAAATATTTTAAACTCTCATCAGAGATATCTAGTGATTAAAAAACACCAAAGTGGTAGATGACCATTGGCTTAACAGTCCTGAATGAATGGGGTGGGTAAGGAGGGGTGGGGGGAGGGGGAGGGCGGGGGGTGGGAGTGTGCCTAAGACTTGCTCACGCTTATATCAGAAAGTTGTGTTTGGAAACAACAATCCTCAGGCAGGTTTACACAGAAAGGAGGGAGGGAAGAAGGGTGGAAGGAAACAAGAAGGAAAGAAAGAAATGAAAACTATTAACTAATTTAAAAGAAATCATTTGTTGGGTGATTCTATTAAAGGAAAAAAAAAAGCCACTGAAGTGGGTTCAAGTTTTTGCTTCTCCCATTCTCTCTGGAGACTTTACAGTTGTGTTGCTTGCCCTTGCTGCCCAGCTCCTTGCAGCAGTAGGGTAGGGATGTGGAGTGAGACAGGAGAAATAATGTATGAAAGAAGCCAGTCAACAAAAACAGACTCGGCGTTCCTCTCCACCTGCGCTACCAATAACAAACATTATGTATGACGAAGGGCAGAGATAAACAGGTGGGAATGGCGAACGCTGTGCAAATGACCTTTACAGGGTCATGTGACTCCTGGTCCAGCTCTTTTTTGGGGGGACAGGGTTTCTCTGTGTAGCCTTGGCTGTCCTGGAAGTCGCTCTGGAGACCAGGCTGGTTTTGAACACACTGAGATGTGTCTGCCTCTGCCCCTGGAGTGATGGGATTAAAGGTGTGCGCCACCACCAGCCAGTTGGTCCAGCACTTCTGAGCTGTACCAGCCTACTTTCATTCTCTAGAGAATCTTATTTCTTTTTTCTTTTTCTAAGCATTGGTGTTGAACTACATGTGTTTGTGAGGGACCCGGATCCACTGGAACTTGAGTTACAGACAGTTGTGAGCTGCCATGTGGGTGCTGGGAATTGAACGTGGGTCCTCTGGAAGAGCAGCCAGTGCTCTTATCCACTAAGCCATCTCTCCAGCCCCTCCTTTTCTTTCTTAATAAACCTTTCCAGGACCTCATCATGTGCTCCTGCTATTGTTAATCCTTGGAACACAAGAACCTGGACATCTCAGCAGGTCCCCTTCCCTACTGTGACTGGACCTTAAACATCCTTCTTTCTGGGCACATAGAAAAGTCACATTTTGGGCTGGAGAGATGGCTCAGTGTTAAGAGCATTGCCTGCTCTTCCAAAGGTCCTGAGTTCAATTCCCAGCAACCACATGGTGTCTCACAACCATCTATAATGAGGTCTGGTGCCCTCTTCTGGCCTGCAGACATACACACAGACAGAATATTGTATACACAATAATAAATAAATATTTTTTTAAAAAAAGAAAAGCCACATTTCAATACCACCTGTTTTCAAGTATGACTTATATCACCAACAAACTATATCCCTCCTAGACTAAGATAGAGCACGATGAGTTAACACAGTCGACCAATTGTTTTACAAGTTCTCAGGTTTTTAATGTTTGACCTTAATATTTCGTGTATTTGTATGTACTGGTAATCTGTAGTAATTTGTATGTACATAATTTTTTTATTCGTCTTTTTTTTTCAAAATATGAGTGAACACTCTACTTTTATTACTTTCATAGGAAACTTATCATTTCATCTTAGGAAAGCTTGATTTAAAACCATTTACATATTTAGAATGTATGCATGTATTTGAAACTTTTATTAAACAGGAACATAAACATTACCAATTTTTCTTTTGTTTTCTTTCCTTCCTTCTTCTAAGACAGTCTCACCATGCAACCCTGGCTGGATCAAGTTGGCCTAGAACTCATAGAGCTCTCCCCAACTCTGCTGGGATTACACTTGTACCACTATGCCTAGCTTCTTTTCTAATTACCGATCTCTTGAAAAGGAAAAAAAGGTAGAAGTTATATTAAATCTTAAATCGTTGCCATTATTTTGTTCCAAAGGTCTCGTAGTGATGATAATGTTACAATTTTTGCTTTATTCTGAAAAAAATCAAGTATCTAATGAAAACTGTTGTGAGTATTGCTACCAATGCCCAACTTCTTTTTTTTTTTTAAAGATTTATTTATTTATTATGTTTACAACATTCTGCCTCCATGTATGCCC